TGCAGCGGTGCACGACTGCTCTTCTGAATAAGTGAAGCCTATGTAACAAAGTTGTTTACACTGACATTAAAAATATTTGACCAATGACAAACTGGAGCAGGACTACAGAGAGAGATAAATATGATTTAGGTTTTTTTTTTTCTGACTGTACGACCCACGGGAGACACAGCATTAACAGCAGCCGTTTCATTCCTCGGGTTTAAAGCAGATCCTTTCATCTACAGCTGATGCTGCTAAGAATGACTTTTTTTGTGGATCTCCGAGAGCAGAACTTCAATCTCCGAACTAATTCTTCTTTTTTACTTTACAATGTCACTTATGAATGGACACTTCCTGATATGTGTGGCAGGAAACGTATATCCTTATATGGTGTTTTTTGGCGTGTTAATTATGTAAATCACCTATCCTCATGCACGAGCACCATACACATTCATCAGTTTACCCTCCTCCTTTACACACTTTTCCTGAAGATAGAAGAGTTTGTTGAATCTGACGTGACGTGTTTGTACGAACCCTTCGTACAAACAAAAATAAGAGAAATTTAGGATAAGAATACAAAAACGTTCTTGCATGATGCCCAATGAGTTGATGATTTAAATGTGAAAAACAAGAATTCAAAAGTCTTTAAACAAATATATAAAAGAAAATCACTGTTTAGTGATCAGATTCTGCCCAGCTCCAATTTATATTTACTGTATCATTCTTCATTTATAGACTGAAATTTGTGTCCGTCCGTCCGTCCGTCCATCCACCACCCTAAACGGTGGACATAAAATGTATACTTTATTTTAAAAAGTTCTAAATGCAGCTCAGTGAAAAGTTACATTATTATGAAACTTATGCTGCTTATCTGAGATTGGGTTGTCAAGGCAACAGCCAATTCCCCGACCTCTGTTTACCCAGATTCCTCCTCCAGCTATTTCAGTGTTGACTTCATGGTCTTCCCAATCCAGCTGTGAGATTGAATCTCTCCAGTCAATCTTGTGTCTGACCTGAGCTCTCCTCCTGGCAGGACATGTTTGAAACCTCTTCAGACAGTTTCTTCCTACTAGACCACCTCATGTGGCTCCTTTCAGAAGAGCAGGGGTTCTACTGTAAGCTCCTCCTGAATGTCCACGCTCCTCACCTCATCTCTGAGGACRAATCCAGCCACTCTGAAGTGGAGTCTTATTTCAGCTGCTTGTTACTGTAATTGTTTCAGTTATTATTCACAACCATGGGTTAAGATAGGAACATAGATCATGGAGTAAATTCATAGCTTTGTTTTTGCTTAGTTAGTAACCCACCAGCTGATCTCCCTCTTCATTTTACCCCCATCTAAAATATGACCTTGAGGACATGATGTCCTTCACTCGGGGCCGAGACTCATTCCCAACCTAGAGTTGGCAGTCCACCTTTTTTTAGGACCATGACCTCAGACTTAAAAGCATTGGGCCTCATGCAAGAACATTTTTGTATTCTTATCCTAAACTTCTCTTACYTTTGTTCGTACGAAGGGTTTATAYGAACATGCCACGTCAGATTAAGCAAACATTTCCATCTTCATGAAAAGTGTGTGAATGAGCAGCGTAAGCTGATGAATGCGTATTCAGGTGCTTGTGCATGAGGAGAGGAGATTAGCATGATTACCACCCCAAGAACACCATATAAGGCTACGTTTCCTGCCCCACATACCAGGAAGTGTCCATTCATAAATGACATTGCAAAGTAAAAGAAGAACTTCACAAGTTTGGAGATTGAAGTCCTGCTCTCAGAGATCCAGAAAAGTCTTTTTTAGCAGCATCAGCTGTGGAATTACAGTAAAGTGCCTGTGAAATCAAATTTTTGAGATAAACATAAATGCATTGTTGGAAAGATAACATTGATAACATATTAAAAACAAATTTCATGCTGCTGAGATGAACAGTTGTTGAGATATTTGCATGTGAAGAAACAGAAAGTGATGTCAAAGGGGAATGTCTGTGTGTAAACAGAGCATTGCAACGGCTAACAACAAAGAATGTAGAGAAGAATTTAATGTTTCTTTAGATTATTTTGAGTTGATATCAAAGAGAGATGTAGAAGAGTTAAAGTTTAAATGATATTGTTTTAATAAACAAAGACCAAAGATTTTATTTTATTAAGGAGTTCCCCTTTGATGTCACTTCCTGTTTTACTTTGGCTGAGACAAATTTAAACTAAAATAGTTATTTACAAAACAAAATGGGTAAAATCATGTGTATTAGGGAAATTTTCTTGAGTATCAAGATGTTTTATTTGACTTTTTGTATTTGAAGTACATGCATGTCACAGGCACTTTAAAGGAGCTGCTAAAGCCGAGGAATGAAATGTGCTGTTGATGTCGTGTGTCCCGTGGGTTGTATACAGTCACAGAAATACAAATCTAAATCATATTCATCAGGTTTCCCTTTGGTCAAATATTTTTAATTCAATTGTAAACAACTGTTATATAATTTTAATTTAGAAGAGCATAGCTGATGTGCTGAATAAATCTCAACAAACTAAAAATAATCTATAAATTTCATTATACACCGAGACAAATTAACCTTCAATTAATGCATAATTTAAGTTTGTTTATATTATTAGTCTACATTATTACATTTAAAATAATAATTTCAATTCAAACAGAATAGCCTATTG